ATTTTCTAGTTCGGCATTTTGTGGTGTAGTTGTGTAGCATCCTTGGGTTGCGTGGCACCTGGGGTGTTACAACACTGCTCCACGGCCTCTACGCGACGATCCACAGCCATGGAAGGCTGCCCCTCGCCCATTGGTCGACGAGCCACGGCCTGGGGAGGAGCGCTTGCCCGCGAGCCCACCCCGCCGCCGTGATCGTGCCGCAGCCTAGCTCCGCTGGTGGGCTGCCCCACCATAGGATGCGCATAGATGCTGTTGGGCGCTGGCGACCGAGGGATCGTTGCTCCATCATCCTCTCCTCCTCCTTCCGTCGATCTAGGGTTAGGTTTTTTCCGGGGAAGAAGCTCGCAGGAGGGCTCGCCCACATGGGGAAGGTCGCGGGATCTTGGGGCTCGGCCAAATCTCAGTCTTCCATAACAGAGGGTATGTTAGACATATGGAGAAACAGAGTCAAATCAATCAACTAACAAGATGAACAGTGAAAATAGACAGCAGTGCCATACATTTATGGAAGAAAATTTCAACTTGGTGACTGATAAGAAAGTTCAAATTTTCGAGTGCCAAATAAGAAAGACTAATTTGGTTCAGTGCCAAATAGATAATTCTCTCATGTATTTAAGTGGCTTACGACCTCACCATGGCTTTGTTTGATGCTGCTTCCATTCCATCCCATTCCATTGAATCGAAACCAAAACATTAAAGGCTAAATGCATGGGTTTTCAATTAAAATTATTCCATCCCATTATTGAATCGAAACCAAAACATTAAAGGCTCAATACATGAGTTTTCAATTGAAATTATGCCTAGACCTAGAACTCGGTGTCATCCCTAGGAAGCGGCTCGTGTCCGCTCTGGGCCATGAAGAGGCCATCATAGACCAGCCCAGCGAGAAGGCCACCGATAAGAGGCCCGACCCAGTAGACCCAGTGGTCGGCCCAGACCCCCTCCACGAGCGCGGGGCCGAAGGAGCGCGCGGGGTTCATGGACGCGCCGGAGAAGGGCCCGCCGGCGAGCACGTTGGCGCCGACGACCAGCCCCACCAGGAGCGGACCCATGCCCCCGACGGCCCGGCGCGGGTCGACGACGGTGGCGTAGACCGCGAAGAGCAGCGAGAAGGTGAGCACGGCCTCCATGAGCACGCCCCGGAGCGCGCCGACGCCGGCGCCCAGCGCGTGCACGGGCACGGGCGCGCCGTCGGTGAGGAAGGCGAGGAGGAGGCAGGCGAGCGCGGAGCCGAGCAGCTGGGCGGCCACGTAGAGCGCGGAGCGGAACAGCGTGATGCGGCCCGTGGCGGCGAGGCCGAGCGTCACGGCCGGGTTGATGTGGCCGCCGGAGACGTGCAGCCCCGCGGACACCATGACGGCCACCACCAGCGTGTGCGCCAGCGCCACCGCCGTCAGGCCCACCACCGTGTCCCCACCGCCGCCGGCCAGCTTCCCTGCATGCATGCATTGTTGCACATGGTCGCGCTCTCTTCTTAGACTAGCTAGAGGGGAACAAATAATATGCCTCGTACCTGTTGCCATGGCGGAGCCGACGCCGGCGAAGACGAAGAGGAAGGTGAGGATGAGCTCGGCGAGGACGGCGCGGACGCAGCCGGCGTCGGAGGCCTCGCGGTGGTGACCAAGAGCGAACTTTGCCATTGCGGGCGCGGGATGGCTAACTAGCTAGTGCTGAAGTGCTGATCCGATATGGATGGAGATGGAGGAAGTTTGTTGGATCTTGGTGAGTATTGAGTGCTGACGGCTGACGACGCTGATATATTATATAGGTGGGGAGACGGATCGGAGACAGATGCATCCATCCGCAAGCGTCGTAGCAGCCTAGTAAAGCGCGCGAGACTCTTTTGTTTTTGGAATAGCTGAAACTAACACGCGGTTAGTTAACTTATGGTATGCATGCATGTATATACTCCTATCTTTCAGCTGCCCTGCCTGGTTATATGTATTATGGCCACTGATTTTTTTTATATCATCCTCAAGGTTCAGCATGGGCAGGGAAATAGGAGTATAATCTTTTTTTATAAGGAGTATAATCTTATCACACACTATATAAATATATATTTTATTATTATTTTGTACCAATCGATCGACTCCATTGAATTGTACAGTGCGTGACAAAGGACACAAGGAGCTGCTGAATTTGTTAGTCAGACTGGCAAAGGTGTGATGATGCATTGTCATGCATGGCGCGCGATCAATGCATGACGCTGAACAGAACGATCTATAATTTGGGAGGGAGTAACTATAGATATACTGTATATATATGGGGAATAATAAAGCATGTAAAGTAAGTGCTATTACTAGTAGCTATATATAGGCCTTGTTTAAATTCAGGGTATAAAGTTTTGGGGTGTCACATGGGGTGTTCGGATACTAATAAAAAAATAAATTACAGAATTCGTCAGTAATCCGTGAGACGAATGTATTAAGCCTAATTAATCCATCATTAGCGCATGTGTTACTGTAGCACTACGTTGTCAAATCATGAACTAATTAGACTTAAAAGATTCGTCTTGTAAATTAGTCACAAACTATGTAATTAGTTATTTTTAATTTATATTTAATACTCTATGTATGTGTCCAACATTCGATGTGGATATAGAGTAAATTTTAGGGGAGGAAGTAAACAAGACCATAGTATAGCTGCTTGCAGTAGTTTGGGTTGTCATCATATCGCCTAAGCCCTTGTTTAGTTCCACCCCAAAATCTTAAAAAGTGCTACAGTACCTGTCACATCAAATGTTTACGGCCTATGTATGGAGCATTAAATATAGACGAAAAAAAACTAATTGTACAGTTTGGTGGGAAATTGCGAGAGGAACGTTTTGAGCCCAATTAGTCCATGTTTGAACACTAATTATCAAATAAAATGAACGTGCTACAGTGGCGCCAAATTCCAAATTTCTGGAACTAAACACGCGCTAAGCAAGCAAAATAAAATTGCAGAAAGCGACGGATGCAGCGCAGCATTGGCAATGGCAGACAGAGGAGCTAGCAGTGGAGGTGGAGACCGAGGGCCTCTTCTCCTTCAGCGGCGGCATGATTGGATTCCCAAATCCATCGCCCACCACTCACCGATGCATGCAATGCCACCGTCGGGTCGCGTCGCCTTGTCGTCTCCTCCCCTACCTGATACCTTATAGCTTGTCAAAGAAAGGCAGCAGTGCCAAAGATTCTAGCTACTCCTAGCTTCTGACTGGCATCCACTCCGGTCTCCGCTGCCTAGCTCCTTCCTGTTGTTACCGTCGGCGTCCACAAATCTGGATAGTTATAGTAATTACGTACGTCGTTAATCTTTTTTTTTGTGAATTACGTACGTCGTTAATCTCAGCTAGCAGACTAGTACTACAAACTAAAGGCACGAATTTTGGCTGAAGTAAAAGGAGTAAGTAACAATTAACATCAGCACAAGTATATATACAATATATATGCCGGATCGTCGTCGTCAGCATGATACATTTGGATTCTGGAATCCACTTTGAGATACTGCAGCCATGACACCGGACAGAAAGGCAAACCTGCTTGTCCATAGCATCTGGACTCAGAATTTGGCCACAAACAAAGCTGCTTTTATTTCTTTCTATTGTGCACGCTTTAGTTGACCTCGCCAGCCATTGTGCAACACGCACACAGACACTCTGTAGGAATTGACTGAAATATTTGGAAAAAGAGAAATAGGAGAATTTTCAACAATGAAGCAGAAACGACGCTACAGGTGGCTGCAAGAAAAAGAAGACATAGAGCAGACATAGAGCGTAGAAAGAGAGCTTTGACTTATGTTGAGCCGCCGCCTCCCCCTAGATTGTTGGCTGTTTTTGTGTGGCTCTGTTTCCCCTCCCTATTTGTTTTGGGCGGCCTATCTCTGTTGCTTATATATAAACTCTCTTTCACTCTTACTTAATTGAAAGACAGAGCTTCTGCTATTGCGTTTAAAAAAGAAAAAAAAGAGAACTGACTGAAATCATTGGTGCAGAAAGGGGTGTCTACAACTCCAAGGAGTACCAGGTAGTAGGCCAGTGGTTTCCTCCTCTATCGTTATCACCATTCACCAGCAAAGCAGGGCAATCACAGACTAGGAATATAGGATAGGAGGGTCTAAGAGTGATGTGATGCACACTTCCACCCAAACATATGTTTTTTTCTCTTTTTTTTGGAATAAAGCAACAGATGAATTAAACCCTTCATGGACATATATGTATATTCTTCCAAGGTAGTAGGACCAAGGAGACAAATTGAGATACATGATGAAAAGTGCAAAGAAAGCACTAGAGTAGATAGATAAGAGGACCTCAGGTCACCAGCAGACATAGACAATGCCTGTGAGTTGACAGCACATGGAATGGGCCATATGAAAAACAAACCAACAGTCTAACACCAACTACAGGGAGTCCACTACCATTGGCATGCTCATACAATATACTCCCTCCGTCCTTAAAAGTGTTTAAAAGTGTGTCATTTTAGCTATGAATCTGGATAAACATTTATCTAAATTCTTAGCAAAAACAACACTCTCTAGATAAACATTTGTCTAAATTAATAGCAAAATCGACACTCTTTTTGGACGAAGGGAGTACACAACAGCATCCAACCACAAAACACATGGCTCAAGTCGGTGATCCAAAACAGTAGATACACCATAACACCGGCCCTAAGGGCATACCGTTAATAACAAAGGTAAACACTAACTACAGTGTTTTTTTTATGCAACAAGCCTACAACATGACCACAGCTACAGACCTCACTCCGTGTGCGTCTCTGTGGGCAAGGGATCGACGAGCAGCGATAGTAGTATCCACTTTTGTCAAACTTGAACCTCTGAGAAAGGTGGACCTCATGAATGGGATATTCACCCCACTCCTCTTTCCCAAATTTCCTGAAGATATCCCGGGCATCAAAAGAATCCTTCCACTGGTTTCGTTTATTTGTACTGTCATAACAAGGCAGACACAATATAAGCGAACAATACAGCATCACCAAAGGTCCAAAATGCAGCAGAAAGGGTTATAGCTTGCACCTCTTCCTATGCCGCACGTTCATCATGGTCGCGTGCAACTGCAGTGGCAAATGAGCAACACAATTATAGCAGAATAACAAAAAAGTTATGTATGCTGTATTCAATTTAACTACGAGCCCGTTATGCAAATACAGGCACAACGAAATTGCAGTGTGTTTTAACAAGCAATGTTACTGCCCTTAAATTTTTATAACTGACAATCTCTTAGGGGAAAAGAAATTATATATGCTAGCACCAGAAATGAGAAGGTTAAAGAACAAAATGAAGGTATTTAACCATTTCACAAAATGAAGGTATTTAACCATTTAATTAGTAATTACACACCTTCAGTTCTCTCACGTCCCTTTGAAAAACTAGACCTGACTTGGCAAAGGCGTCAGTTATGACTTCTGATAAAGTGCAAGTAGGTCAAGTGAAACATATGCATAATATGTTATCGCACCAATAAACCAATACTGATAGCGACAAGTATTGTACAAATAAATACACAGATCACTTCCTAGAAAAAAATCCAAAGGATTAACAATAAGTAGACACACTATTTAAAAAATATCACTTCATCAAAGTTCAAAAGGATAATGCAAGCACGTGCTAGGCGCCCTTCGCCACCAACTTCCAGCACTGGAGCGTATACCACCCGAGCCTTAGCTGGAGAGCCTTTCATGCATGTCTGAATTTCATTGAAACTTGAAGGGTCACAAAAGATGTGTTTAAACCAATAAAAGTATTTTGAAATTACAGGCAAATATAGTATTGCTTAGACATCAGATTCCCCCTCCGGAAACCAAAAGAGAATACTGTGGACTGTCGAAAATTGTTCAGAAATGAATATGCTGCTTTTTGGTTCAGATTCTCAACCCAATGTTTTTCTTCCAGTTACTAGTCAATAAATAAGCTCTCAGTACGGATAACCCAGATACTCAAGAAAGACATATTTTCAGATCCAGAGGACACTCACCAGACCTCTAAGCTGTATGGAGATAGGTCGATTTTCCAAAGCTTCATTTACTTGGGTAGATACTGACTGCATCCAAGAAGCAGTGCATTAAGTTGCTTATTACTGTTACATCGGCTATACATTCCTTAGTAGTTAGCACAGTCAATCATCACAATACCTGGAGCACATCCGAGGCCTTAGCTATACGATCCTTGTTCCACAACTTTAACATAAGAACCGTCAGGTGAAATGTTTTGGGTTTGATAAATATTGACTTGTCAATGCCAAAATCTACAGGTGACAAATAAGAATTCACTCAAATCCTGAAGGGAACAAGACATTTTAATTTGGAAATTCATAGAACAACAGAAGTGATATTTCAAATCCTAATCACAAGGAAAACTTTCTAGAGATTTTGTTTGAGATGGTGCTTTGCAATTTCTTTGGACATTCCAGCCAAGCTATAGAACAAGTTTCAAACATGTTCTTTTTAGGTAGAGTCTTAGAGACAAGGGATTTTATATAACTACACAGAAGTTCCATAAGCAAATTGATGGTATTAACTCTAGGAATAACTCCAGCAAGGAATGCAAGGCACTTATACAGACTAGCAAAGCTTTCAAACCTGATTGGGAGCCTTTGCTACCCATTTTTGCTTCAGCAGACTCTTCTTCTTGAACTTGCAGCTTGATGGAAACACTTGAGCCATCCGCTTGCTTGTGGTCATCATCCATTTCATCAATAGAACCTTCACTTCGGCTCTGATCTTTGTCACTGTCTTCTTCCCCAAGGATCGAACTCTGGAAGTGGTTCAGTTTGTCGACAAGATCTTGGTGGAGAGCCAATGGAAGTGATATGAAATGAGAGTAGTCGAGCTGTCGACTTTGAACAGCCTGAAAAACAGGGTAAGGACAGACTAACTATTATGATCCAGTGAATAACAAAACCGGGAAAATGAGAAAACAAGCAGCGGAGAGCTGCAGTGAATAAATGTTTTTGAGCTGCAGAATGGCAACAAAGAATTCAGATACCTCCAAGAGAAGTATCTTTTGACAACCATGTGCATATAAATGAGCATGAAACTATAATAAATACTCCCTCTGTCCCAAAAAGAATGCAATTCTAGGCATGAGTCTGGACAAATCCTTGTCCAAATTCATGCCTAGAATTGCATTATTTTTTAGACGGAGGGAATAAGAGCTAGTGCACAGTACGCAGCAGTATTCACTTTCTATGTGATGCATTTGATAATTAGCACTAACAATTCTGCAGCACATGTTGGGAGCTATGTTGATCTCTCATGTAATTTTGATATGTTATGGAGGTAGCATTAGCATTAAGCTTGTATATTTAATGATGGATGGTATAAATAAGAAGAGTTGTCAATCTCATGAAATTTGTATGTAAAAACAAACATAGCAAATTACTAATTCTCCACATCATCATAACAACGGTAAATTAAAATGTAGAATGATTCAGTAAACGATCTAAGCATGTGCCAATCATCTATTGGAGAAGTACATTGGCTATCTACCTCTTCAAGAACATTTGCAATCAGCTGTGATGCTTTTCTAATACTTTCAGCACTTTTACCTTCAAGGACTGAAAAATATTACATAGTTAGCTCTTAAACTAACTTGAAGCTTATCACATCAAGCATGATTTCAAGAAGCATGAGTGTATCTGTACCAACTGAAGTCCCCTCCCTTGATGATGGGAAGATAATTTTAACTCCAGTATCCTCTTCAATCTTCTTCTGCGTAGACCCACTACATTCCAAGGAATACAAATTATGATCAGAGATACAGTCCAAGTGCTATCCCCAACAACCATTGGTACACAAGTGAAACATATCAAGAGATCACTACCTCTTTCCTTTCACAAAGCGTATCAAAGGAGCATCTACCTGAAACAGAACGACTGAATCTATTAACATTTCTCAAACACTGTAAGTGTAAAGATAACTCACATGTTAAGTGGGTAGATATAAAACTAAAAGTGGTTATTGAAAAAAAAAATCAGATTACTTAGACGCGTGTGAATGGTATACCTCAATAGAGGAGGAATATGTCCCAGAGACATTGGACCCAGCTAGATCCTTATTGAAGCCAGATACCTCCGCATTGTCTTCTATAACTACTTTAGTTGAACTGTATTCAAAACTTAAATTATTTTTTGACGATGAAGCTTCGTTGGTGGTAACTTCGACAAAAACATTGGTTGTTCCATCTGATGCCAAATTCTCACTAGAAGCTATGCAATCCTCTATAATTTTATTGCTTCCAGAATTTGATGTCTCAGTAATGTCATCTGCATTGTGTGTCATTATCAGAAAGCTCAGAAATGGCAGTAGTGTGCCACACACACTAGAAGGAACAAAAGAAAGAGAAGAAATTAAAAAGGGGCAGTAAAGGAACAATTTAACACTTAATATAGATGTTGAAACAATCATGTTAGAAAAGGGTAAGTATCTCCATAGCATATAGGCGAAAGATCAGAATTAGGACACAGCAAGGTTGAAATGTATTATGTTTTGGGAATTCTGTTCCAAGGAAAGCTGAATACTTGAATGCATTGTGAATAATGATGATATTGTGTCAAGGTGCAACAAGAATGCAGGATGCGAACGGGGCGCACGCACAAACCTTTCTGGGGAACTGCTTCTGTTGAAACCGGCCTCCATCTCTGCACAGGAGACTTTTTTTTATTGTGCTTTGCCACACTGCTTGATCCTTGTGCCCCTTCCATCACAAATGAGGCCAACTTATCTCGACAAACTGGTCCCTGCAATGACCAAGGCACTAATTTAGAGAGACATCACACTGTGTGACAGAATTCTGAAGCATAACACGATGAAAAGGTGAGACGGTGAAGAATTCACTGCAAAGCTAGGATATTTTCAGGTCTGCAAGGTTGCTGAGTAAATAGGCACTTCTAATTCTGATACTTAAACTGCCATACCCAACAAATTCAGGGTCATTCTGGCAACAGTGACCGTGAATTGCGAAATTGTCACCACGATTCCTACTTCCTAGTGCTTGAATTCAACTTAAACCATCACTGTCTGCTCCGAGTTACTAACAAATCGCTGGGAACTAAAGTGTGGCTAGTACAAATCCGGTACAAAAATTAACAGGCGAACCTTGTGCGTATCATCGAGAAAAGAAATTGGGAGCAGAGCAGTTAACCTGGTGGAAGTAGCGAATTGGCGAACCGGCGGCGCATGGAATCGCAGGCCGAGTGAGCCGACTAGCCCTAACGGAAACAAACAAGGAAAAGGAGGAATTAAACTGATGAGATCCTAACCGGAGGATGCGTTAGTACGAGGAGAAGAACTGGACGAGAAGAGGATTCGTTATTACGAGGATGCGCCGGGTAGGAAGGTACGGGGGAGCGGTGAATCGGGACGCACCTTGCGAGGAGTGACCTGCAGACGAACATGGGCGGCCTCGAGCCGTGCAAAGATTTTGGCGAGCTCGTTTACCGACGGCCCGGCGGACACGCGGCTGGATCGGGCGCGGCGGCGAGTGGACGTGCGGCTGCTCCTGTTAACGGCTAGCGGCGACGGCAGGCTTCTCTCTGCAGCGAGCCAGCGACCGTGGGTCCGTGGCTGGTTTTTCGTCGTTTTTTATTTATTTATTTATTTTGTGTGTGTGTGTTATGTGATGGTTTAATGCGTTTTTTTAATATATGTTTCTTTTCCAACAGTTCCAACTGAAATCTGCGTTCCAAAAAAATATGATTCAAATCTGAACCTGGGGTGGATTTTTGCAAAATTGAGTTTAAAGAGTTGCACAATCAGCCAAAATCCGACAAGTGTGTGTGTTTTCTTCGTATCAAATCGAGATTCGATGGCTAGGGTTTATACGTTACTTATTGCTAATGAGCTAATCTCTTTAGAGATGTCGTCTTGCACTCTTACACCGGCTTTTATTACTGTGGGAGCTACCGCCACCTCTTATATATTATAGCTTTCGTTTGTCTTATAAATCGTATTTTTTCAGCCAATGAATAATATTTTTTTCTCATAATAAATCAACCAATGATACTTTCAGCCATAGCTTATCAACCAAACGAACGGGACATATATTGCTCTAGCAATAAGATGTTTTTGCCTTACAGTGCCGGATGATTAGCGAGCCCTCGCCTCCTGTTGTCCGCATCGACTATCTCGGTGTTTTACCCTTACAAATTACAATTGTTGAAATTGCTGCACTAAGTGACTAACCTTTCACTGTTATGTCTCCTTAAATCTAAGTACGGGAAAGTTGGACTTAAGGGGTGTTTGATACCACTCCTAAACTTTAATCCCTGCCACATCGAATATTTGGACACTAATTTGAAGTATTAAGCATACATTAACAAAAACTAATTGCACGGGTGAAGACTAAATACAAAGGACTAAAGTTTAGTCCCGTCACATCGGATGTTTAGATGCTAATTAGAAGTATTAAATATAGACTAATTAAAAAAAACAAATTACACAGATAGAGGCTAATTTGTGAGATAAAATTTTAAGCCTAATTAGTCCATGATTTGACAATGTGTTGCTACAGTAAATATTTGCTGATCATGGGTTACTTAGACTTAATGGATTCGTCTCGCTAATTAGTCTACTCATGTACAATTAGTTTTATAATTAGCTCATGTTTAATCATTTTAGTTAGCATTCGAACGTTCGATGGGACACGGACTAAATTTTAGCCTCTGGATCCAAACACTTGCGAGACGAATCTATTAAGCCTAATTAGTCCATGATTTGACAATGTGGTGCTAGAGTACATGTGCTAATGATAGATTAATTAGGTTTAATAAATTCGTCTCGTAAATTAGTCTCCATCTGTACAATTAGTTTTATAATTAGTTCATGTTTAGCCCTCGTAGTTAGCATCCGAATGTTTGATGTGACAGATAATAAACTTTAGTGCCTGAATCGAAACACTTCCTTAGTTTCGTTGCAGTTACTGGACTATATAGGTGGGTGACTTTCGAATGAAAGTTTTGCTTGGCTCCCTGTCGATGTTGGCAATGATGATATCATAACGGGCATTATCGTGAGATGGTTTTAGTTTGTTCCTTCAATTAGCGTTAGCAACATCTTTGGATGTTCCTTTCCTCCTTAGAGGCGTCACCATAAAAAGTACCACCACTTCCAAGCTTCTTGCGTGTTTGTTGCGGTGTGCAATTCAAAATAGGGATCTTGTTTTAAACTTTCAGATCAAATATATGCAAAACACCCTCCAATTTATATCGCTATTAATAATACTCCCTCCGTTCTTTGTTACATGTCACATTAGCTTTGTCGTAAGTCAAACATTATTATCTTTAATTAACCATTTTTAAATATATATTATGAAAGTATTCCTCATAGTGAATCTAAAAACATAAATTTTATGACATTAACCTATATAATTTTTTTAGATCGATAGTCAAAGATACAAATGTTTGATTTAGGACAAAGTTAGCACAACATCTAATAAAAAAACAAAGAAATAGCAATCTCTCGTATTTATAACTAAAAAGATTAAAGTTTTTTTTGGATCATGCGATCCCACGCACGGCATGCCCTCCGCTCCCTTCGATTCAGCCCGAGATGGGCCCACCCGGCATTGGCCGCGTGCCTTGCGAAAGGAAACCTCCCATCCACTTTACCTCCCGAGTCGCGTCAATCACGCGCTCCCGGCGATTCCGCGCCCCTGCCTACCCTCTCTTCTCAGGAAAAAAACCGCCTCAATGCGCCGCCGCATGGATCCTCGACGCGGAGGCAAGAATAGCGGTTGTGGCGTCGCCGCACGGCCGACCGGAGCGCTTAGTGCCCTCCCGGCCAGCAGTGGTGCACACACCCCCTCCATCCCGGCCGGCGGCGCTCAAATCCATGGAGATGGTGCCCCGATCTGTCGGGGAGGGGTGGCTCCGGCGTGGCTGTTGGGCCTCGACGACACCAACGCCGACGATGAGGCAACATTGGGCCGTCACTCCCTCCCTACCCTCAGAGGTCTAGGGCTCTCGCACGGAGGATCTCCATTCGAGCAGGAGCAGCGAGGATCACCATCGCGGAGGATCTACATTCGAGCACTAGGAGCAGCGAGACGGAGCCCGCGGCCTTGGTGTCGGGCAAGGCGGAGCCCCCCTCAGACGTCGGGCGAGGTGGAGCTAGCCCTCAGGCGTCGGGTGAGGCGGAGCCCTCCCTCAGACGTCAGGCGAGGTGGAAACCTCGTCCTCGGAGTCGAACGAGGCGTGGCCCGGCCCCTGGGGGTCGGACGAGGCGGAAACTTCGTCCTCGGAGTCGGACGAGGCGTGGCCCGGCCCTTGGGGTCGGACGAGGCAGAAACCTCGTCCTCGGAGTCGGACGAGGTGTGGCCCAGCCCCTGGGGGTCGGATGAGGCGTGCCTCGGCCCCTGGGGGTCGGACGAGGCGGCAGTTGCGTCCCTAACCATCAGATGAGCCGACGTGACGCTCATTAATCCTTTGGCTCGTATACTCGGATGTAAATATCCGACAGACCCTGTCAGGGCAAGGATGTCGTCGGGTTGCCCTAGGTCGGCCGGCAAGCCTAGGGCGCCATCCTTGGTCGTGGATCAAGGGATGAACATCATGGATGTTGGAGAAGAAGGTGAAAAGGAGTTTGTAGATCGGTTTGTAAGACGATTGGATAGTTGGGAACTCAATCGGCCATGATCCTCTCGTATATACAGAGATGGATGGTCTTATCCTAGCAGGAAACAGATCCCAAACATAATCTCCAAGTTTCCCACGTCCAAAATAGGTCCAAAACTGACTTGGGAGTCAAACCGGCTCGAAAACAGCAGAAAAGTCTTAGCCGACTCCCAGGTCAGCTTAGCCGAATTCCACAGGCCCAGGATGTTGTCTCTGGGCTGAAAACAGGGGGAGTCGGCTTAGCCGACTGAGGGACTCGGCTAAGCCGACTGGCTGTTGGAAATTCCGGGCGAAAAGCTTCCGAAATTCATAATTAATTCATCTGGACTCCAAATGAGGTGATCCATATATGTTTTTCGATCAGCTCACGAGAGGAACACAATGGTGAAGTCCATTCTTGTATTTGAGGAAGTTGGTCAAGTCGGCTTAGCCGACTACTGGCTGGTTCAGCACCCGAAAAGTCGTTTTCTTCGCCCAAGCGCCAAATACGATGATCCTAGTATGTTTTTAGGTCGTCTTGATAACAGAAATATGAAGGTGATGTCAATTATGCACTCTGGACAATTTTGGATGTCAACACAAACCTTCAACTAGTTGTTAACCAACTAGCTAACCAACTCCAACTATTTAAAGTTAATCTTTAGCTCAATTAGTAACTAGCTCTAGCGATCCAAACAAGCCCTTAATCTTGTAGCAAGACAGGCAGTTAGTAGCTATGATTATATTCTGCCACAGATGATGCGTCTCTGACTCTGAGAGGAGTACCAAACCATTTCGATTCTGCAGGCGTTTGCAGTGTGGGTATCTGAAAGACTGAACCCAATGTTCATCAAAAATCAAAAGAAAAGGGAAAAAAAGAGTGAACAAAATCACTGAAAACATGCACATCATTCTCATTCTTCAACGAGGCACAGAGCAGAGGAAGAGCGAAACATAAGTAGATTCCTTGGTCTTGGATTTTTAGGCAGAGCATGATCATTAGATGCGAGTTAATTGCATGGTGTTAGTACTATCTATATATGTAATGTATGTAATTGTAATTGGGTGATAATGTGATTACGTGCGCATGATCAGAATCGTTGGTCAGCACTCAGCAGCAAAATAAAGGGAATCAAGTGCAGTACTGCCTGTGACATCGAGCTAAGTACAAGTTGTGAGAGAAGACAGTGTTTTTTTTTAGAGGAAGGAAGAAGAAAGAAACAGAAGTGTTTGGCAACACCTGGCGAGCAAATTGAATCGCAAGAAACCAACAGGGGAGGGGAATATGCCCATCCATTAGCATAATCAGCCATTCAGCCTGATGAGTGATGAAGCTGATGATTACAGGTGCTTTCTTTTGTGTTTTTCATGGAATATCCTGACTGAGCTTATCTCCCCTTTGTCTGCTTTAATGGCCCATATGATTGGGTGCTTACGGAAAGAGAATGATGATTCAGGCAGTGGCAGGGCTCCGTTTAATTCCTTCTTTTTTTGGAAAAAAAATGCTTTCTTTAATTCTCATGTTGGAGAATGGAGAGAATGATGTTGCCTCCAATCCGTGTTTCCCGCAGCTCGTGCGAAGAATCTTTTGCTGTAGCTCCTCGCCTGAAGCGAACCCATCAAGTTCTTGCTACAATCGCCCATCGTGTGTTTCATTTGAGAGACGTATCTGAATCTGAGGATCAATCCTTGTATGAAAATCTGTGCAAGGTGAATCCTAGCAGTACTCCAAGAAGCGATGTGTTGTGTAGCGTTTTTCATCATTGTTTCACTTGGAAGTTGGAACAGCAAACAAATTCAGCTCTTGGCCATAACGTTGGCTGATGATGCCACAAGGTTTATTTATGTTTGATCTTCAGCACCCCCTCTTTCCTGTACTCCCTAGCGACCAATATCATGATATCGAGCTTGTCCTTAGTGCTTTCTGACATCAAGAACAAGTGGCATAAGACGAAAACTAATTTCCTATTCGAAAATTTTGGGGCAGCCTTCATTTGACAAGCTTTGTTCTTCTGCTTTCCATCCTCCTCCCCCTCCTGCGTGTCAAAAGAAATACTTATCAGTGTCTCATCATGGCCGTTCGTGCAAGGGAAAGGTAAAAAGTGCTGCTTTGCTACACTGTGATAAGACCCTTTCGCAGTAGTGGAAGCACCTATTCCTGTTCATTCGCTCGACAAGACCCTAAATTTGGGAAGCACCAACTCCCGATGGCCAACCAAATGAGCATTACCGACGTCTCAAGTAGAGTACATCCATGATTAGCACAGGAAAGCAAAAAGAACCAAAGCTGCGATTTTTAGTCCAGGAAATGACATGCATACACTGATGCAACTTAATTGTAAGATGTATGAGAAGCATATGAGAACGATACGTAACAGTAAAAGTGAGTGGACATCAGTATCCGTACATAGTGCTGCCTTGCCAAAATTCAAATGATAACCTTGCATAGGCACTTAGGCAGCAACGGATTTGGGGAATAACACTATCCTTATCACTAGCTAGGCGTAGAATTTGAGATTTTGGGAGATTACATACCTAGTGGAATCTCCCAGCTATCCACGAGGTTACATCTTAGTTTACATGAAAAGTTCACCGACTTGCCATTGTTTTGCTTCACTCAAAATTACCATCAAGCATCAGCTTCTCTGCCTTTGGCCCCTGTTTCTCGCATATTGTCCTATGAGACAGCAACAAGTCAGCAAATGAACTAATCAGGCACCGTGCAAACAGAGGAACTGAGGAAGACTGCAAATACAAAATTACTGGACCTGTTACACAAATAAGAAACCCACAATTTAACATTCATGAATACGGCCTTTGTTCAAATGCACAAAGTGCTGAAAACAAGGCATTTTGGAAGAATCGCGGAAGCTGCCCACAAATGCACTGGAATACAAGTCCCACGATCATTTTATATAAAAAAAATTACTTACAATGCAAGAATTCATTTTCAACTTTGGGATCAAAGATCCATAGCTAATATACACAGCCAGTTAAGTGACTTCATGACAACTCCCATGGCAGAACTTGGCCAGCATAACGATGAAATGGGAACCAGGAGCACCCGAAAATTCATCATCTATCAGCAGTCAAGTTTTTTTTTCTAATCGAACACTATCAGCGGTCAAGTTTTCAGCAAGCAAACTGGCGCAAATGTACAGTATGTAGGACCATGAATCAAATAGAATAGGGAAGGATCACCAAAGCTCTGAAATGATAAAAGAATAGCAATCTAGAAGAAAGAATGGTAGAAAGATTCTGTTATGATTATAGTAGTATTTAGCCACACAGTCTGCCGAATGTACAAAGCATTTTAGTTCATTTACTTACAACAGATGTTTTTATGCCAAAAAAAAAAACTAAGCATCCAAAGACCAAACATAACTGATTGCTTCTGATAAAATTAATATCCATCAAACTACACTCTTTAACAAAAACTCAACCTTTTCTAAAGCTGCCACCAGAAGGTATTGTCAGAAACTTACATCGCCAGAACAAGACCGACAAAAGACTATAGCACCTTCCATAACTTCACTTACTACACCTCCCTTCATACCTTTTTTTTTCCCTTTTTGGGCTACTTGAACTACTCCAACGCAGCACTTCATCAGAAGATATCCAGCTGATTTCTGAGAGTTGCAAGCATCACTCTGAAAAATATTAAAGACATCTATAACCAACACAGCACTTCATTTGTAGAGTGAAATTCGTTCCACCAATTGTGCATTACCTGCTTAATAAGATACAGAAGTCCCCATGTAGACAAATTCAACTTAACAATGGCATAATCTGCCCTGTTCAGCTGAGCATCTGCAGTACCTAATTGTAAAACATTTTAGAGGACAAAACCTCAACAAATATTCATATTGCAACATGTGTATTAAATTGACAGCAGAAAGTGCAAAGTTCGGATCATCGTTATTTGCAATATGCTCAAACCATACATATATTAACATGTAAGCAATTTACAAAGCATCCAGAACTACAACAAAGAAGTGTTTAAGCAGCAGTCCAACGAACTGCCTAAGCATTCATCAGTCATCACAACAGCGAGCAAACCTTCCATATTAGCAGCTAACAACATCATCAAATGCATCAGTGCTTCAGGAGCCACCTCACTAACATACATGAGACGAGACATCAAGTCCACAGACTGTGCAAGGCTTGACTCTGAACCAACTCAAAGGAACAGGGGGCTCCTCTAACTCTCAAGGCATTTCCTCTTTGCTCCACCAGATATGATCTATATAGGAACATGAATTCATTAAGGATTCTGGAAATAAGAACAGGAGCCAAATACTATCATCAGATTAATCTTACAGATTTACCTGTCACTTTGCTGGGGCATTGTGCTGGAATGTAGGAAGCATGTTAGATGAGCTACTAGTTATGTTTACAATACCCTGATTGTGGTGAATGGCATCAAATTGTCCTTTAGGTCTTGAATTGCTATAATTTTTCCACTGGGAACTAGGAAGAGCCACAGATGTTGTCAGCTGCGCTTTTCCAGGAGCCATGTCTTGTGCCTGAAATGGTGAACCGTCATATTAGATATCATACAACTGCTCAAGGAACCAAAATAACAGGAGGAAACCATCATTATCATTAGCATGAAACGTCAGTTTTCAAGGATGGCTCCTCAAACTCAGTTATCATAAAGCTCTGTTATTTTTGTATATATGGTAAAGGCACTAATGCAGGGGATACCAGAAACTCAAATTGCGCTCTCAGGCTGCTAACTCAGCACAAAACCTGAACAGGAAACTCCAACAAGAGAAGACAATCGATCAACTTCAAACTTTTTGTTCCTATCCAATACTAGTTAATAGGTAACCAAAAGGATACCGCAGAACAACTGGGCCTTGAGAAAGTAAATACAATTGATGATTTGCTGTTATTGGTCCTAAGAAGAAAATTAAACATGCTACACTGATCTGTAGAACTTACAAGGTTCATGGTGTGCCGCACGTTGGGATTCCAATCATTGTTGGTTGCCTGTTTGCCTTGCGACTGTGCAGCTTGCCCTGCTGGACGACTTATCTCTACATGCTCCTGGGCTTCATTATGATGAAAAACACCATTTACACCTGTTGACCATAAGGCCACACATACATATCATGCTACAACCAACTTTAGCAAACATGAAGGACAATTTATAATTATTTGATCTAAAGCACTACAACCAGATTTAATAAGAGTAAATAAAAGTAAAAGTTGGATTCCAATGCTTAAGAAAAATGCCATACTATAGTTGGTGGATGAAACCATGACATTTTTTTTCTGCATTAGAAGCAAAAGGTATATATGTAATGTACCTCTCACCCAACTACATATCAGCTAATAAGCTCAATCTACACTGCAACCAAAAAATTAATGAAATTACTACAGAGTTCTATCAAGATATATAGTCTATCCAATCAATCTTCTACCAATCCTGTAACACACTGTCAAAATAAATAAATCAACAAGAGTTAAAAGGTAACATACTAGTTCATCTAATCAATCAATAAGTCTGAATCCTATGACAGAAAGAAACAGTAAACAAACGTGAAAATTTGGTGGATCTCTTCAATCATCTCTCAGTCACAAGCGATACAGCAACAGTACATAACGTGACCAACTCAAACACTAACCAAAAAACAAACCTTGGTTCATCTCATCAATCGATTCTCAGTCCTATGGAATACAGAAACATTAAACAAAATGCAGATAATTCTGTATAAGATAGTTTGTTTATCTCACTTATCATCAACCACATCTACTCATATGTAGTTTAGTATCAAAAGGTGCATAGGCTCTATTACCTGCTTGTTTCTGTACATGTGCTTGAATTGGTCGAGCAATAGGTGCCCCAGGACTTTGCTGCACATAGAAGAGAATTTGTTATGTAGCCATCAAAGTTGAACCATCGTCCAAATTAATAACTGTTATGAGCTGCCAAAAGGTTATGTGGAATGCTTCCTAAAAGAGATAACTGGAGAAGTAATTATTTCAAAGATGGTTCAGGGATTCTTTCAGGATTTTGCAGAATGCCTCCAGTTCCAGAAGTTTTAAAAACTAACAGGGCCAATCACATGAAATAACTCTTCTAGAACCTAATAGCACAATCACATGCCCAAAGTTGCAACCGTATAGGTGCAATCAATACATACTATCAGCTCCACCACCACAAAGGACAAAAACACGAATTCAAAAAAAAAGGACAAAAACACACAGAATGAACGCAGACATACCTTTTGTTTTTGGCCTTGTCTGTATTTCAAAACTGTCCAGTCGAATACATAATCAAACTCATAACCTGTTGAAAAATGACGAAGACGTTGGTATTAGAACAATAGAAAAAAAAACTTAGAAACACCATGCATAGTATTACTTAGAATACCTTGGCTGTTAAACAAGTCACGGAAAAGTCGCTTCACAAATGCATAGTCAGGTCGCTGATCAAATGCCAATGATTGGCAGTAATGGAAGTAAGATGAAAACTCGACCGGACAGGATTTGCATAAGATCTGACCATAAGTTCTCTTAGTCAGCAATAAACACAGACAAACACACACATACCAGGAAAAAAGAAGAGATTTTATAGTCTAATATGTTTATGAGACAACCTCGGTAGGAGTTGCTAGCTTTTTCTCACATATCTTGTCATACTTCTGTGTCTTTGTTGCAGCTTTTAGTCCCTGCCAAGGGAGGCTTCACACAGCACAGAATAGTTTGACTTAGCAGCTTATCATGAAATGGTATCAAAGATGTTGAGACATAAAAAGTATGAAAGCGCTGATTTTGGAGTTTGGACTTCTTTTTTGGATCGGGTACAACTGGACGCATACAACCCACACACTCACACCACACGCACACACACGTGTGCGCGTCTGTACACACACAAAGAAATTGGGAGACTCTCTAGCCTCCAGTGAGCGGGAAACGCGCAGTACCACCGAACGCGCATGCATGCTTGTACCCTACTTTTTTCTGGACTGCCCTACCACTGGACCAGAGGCCCTTTCGCATTTTGGAGTTTGGACCTAACAGTGGACAAAGAGCTCTGTTACTCACAGCAGTGTAACAGGTCAACAGTTCGGTAATATTGGAAGTAGAACTTGAGCAAAACATGTTGTGCACACATTTTGCAATCAAATATGATCCGGCAGTTGAGATTAGAGCCTGTTACTCTCATATTTAAGGTTAGTTCTTAGAAGTTGCGCCTCTAAGGTTTTCAGGCCTGGTTTTCCTTAAATAAACTGGGCCAACTCTTTTCTAACTTAACTAAAAGGCAGAGCTCATGCCACGGTACCATACCTAGGATTTTGTCAAAGGGTATGCCACAAAAAAAAGTAATTTAATAATATCTATTTAGTAAATAGTCATAAAATTTGCTCCAAAATTAAATTAGCAGACCTAGGATTTTGTCAAAGGGTATGCCACAAAAAAAGTAATTTAGTAATATCTATTTAGTAAATAGTCATAAAATTTGCTCCAAAATTAAATTAGGTATATATAAGCACTAAACAATATAATAAATCATAAATTCAATAATTAATCTCCATACTTGCATATTATAATACAAAAGGTCAAGGTCAACCATCATTCTAATAGTTCAAAATATGCATGTGACTACATATATTTACAATATACATGGTCTTTTATAACAAATATGGCATGACAATGGAGCAATTCGTCACTAAATGATTCTGTTTACGATGTTACATACCCGATTTAGCTTAGTGACCAAAGCATGGCTTCCAATGTTTGAAAAGAAAAATACTTAATTAATCCATATTAGCATGCATGGCCCATCCATATGAACTAGTCTAATTTACCGCGTGCCTCCATGCCGTATGCAGAAACTGCCCCAGTCCTACCTTTCATATGAGAAATTAACTGCCAACCTTGTGCACTCATTTTTCTCGGCCACACAGCACCATGCACCCATACATGCAGACGGAGGAAAACACTAAATGTTGTGTCAGAGAGTAACGGACGGGTTATATGCGCCTGGGAGCCTAGAAGCACATAAATGAGAGCTAAGACGTGGCACGCTGTACTCCGACTGCAGGAAAAAAACAGTTCCGCCTTGTATTCTACTTTAGATGGACGGCGTAAAGTGCAAGTAAAAAGGGCAGACCCAGTGCCAGAGGCTCCCACATGAATGGGGTCTGGGGAAGAGAAAAACCGAGGCAAGCCTTCCCCTCGCAAATCTGCAGAGAAGCTGCTTTGAACCCACGACCTGGTGACTCAGTGAGACAGCTCTCACCACTGCACCAGGCCTGCCCTTCTCGTAAAGTGCAAGTACCATTAGTTAATTTGTATGGGATAAAAAAAGTAGGAAAAATAAACTGTAGCTCACGGTAAGAAATGCTCCTAGTTTAGGGGATAAAAAAATAGGAGATCCTAGTTCAGGGAATAAAAAAATAGGAAAATCAAAAAATCAGCTCAAGGGCAAGAATCAAATCAGCAACTTGCAGGTTAGGACTGAAAATGAATACCACCAGACTACAAACTCTTTTGTTGTCCATTGCAGAAAATAATTATTATAAAAACGTAACTAGTGAGTGGCAAATGAATGTTGGGCTGCCCCACATAGTATGCGTGGCATACCCTGTGGGTCCGCCCCTGCATGCCAGTTCCGTTCAAAAAAGAAAAGAAGCTGCGCCTCTAGTACTTATAGTTATTAACTGCTAGTACGATAACCCTTCTTAAATAATCCCTCTGTTCCAAATAGTAACTCGTTTTGGCTTTTCTAAGTGCATAGTTTGCTATGCATCTTGATATACGTTGTCTACTTATAATTTGGAACGGACGGAGTAGTTGTTAATGCAACTTGCTAGTGTTGAAGTGTGTATAAGTGCATTGTCCAACTCTTCCTGAGAGCTTAAGCTTTTGGGTTGAACTGGTTGGTGCGTGCAACTTAACATGGTATCAGAGCCAGAGGTCTCAGTTTCGAATCTTGGTAGAGGCAACTTAAGTCCTCCGTCCCTTTATTTCCACATTTGCGCCTCTCCCTGGCTACACGTGAATGGGGGTGTTGAAGTGTGTATAAGTGCATTGTCCACCTCTTCCTGAGAGCTTAAGCTTTTGGGTTGAACTGGTTAGTGCGTGCAACTTAATAGCTAGTACCTACTTTTATTGGAGGTGATATCCAGTTTTATGGAATTATAAGTTGCCAAAGTTGCTAGTTGTCAAAACAGGCTCATGGCAATTCGCAGCAGCATTTTTCAGATACCACACCACACTGTCTAACACTCTTCACAAACAGTAACATTACTATATGTGGTACCACACAGCATAAAAGATAAACTTACCTTCCTCGGAGAAAATACAAAAATACATAGCCTAGAGATATCAAATCATCCCTGCGGCTTTGTTCTGCCAATAAATCCAATAACAACGATTAAATATCAAATTAAGATGGTGAATTCACAGTCTCCAGAAGGTTATAACTTGCCAATTCCAAGGTGGGTGTTGCAACTTGCATAGCGCGCTGTACCAGTCAAGCTCTTATTTTCTCTACAGAAAAAAGCAGTTCGGTAAGCGAAGATCACAGATGTACAAGATTAGCTAAATGCCCAAACCATTGTCTGGAAAATAGATTAAATGTAATTTGAAATTTCACATTTCTACAAAAGAAAATCAACGCCACCTACAAAGAATATATCCCATAAATATAACTGTACCTGTAAGGAATATGGCGATTCGTAGTGGAATCGCGGTATCTTTTTGCAAGACCAAAATCAATTATATATACCTGATAATCACAAGAGGAATTGTTGGCAGCCAATTCAGTACATTGCCATCCTAATAAAGTAATAAGGAACTTGAATGCCGTCACACCCAGTACCTGATTTGCTTTCCGACCAAGACCCATCAGAAAGTTGTCAGGTTTGATGTCTCTGTGTAAGTACCCTTTGGAATGCATAAACTCTATCCTTGTAATCTGCCACAAATGTTTACCAAAATGATGCTCTAGAAAATACAGAGATGTAATATGTGGAACAAGTGAGCAATATAAATAATAAAAACTGAAACGGAATCAAGGTCTTGAAGTCTGTCCTGACATAAAATACTGCACGAACAAAGTATCACATCAATACAAAGATGTGATTTGTGGAACTAGTGAACAAAACAATGTAAATAAGCAACACTTGTTGAGATGGAAGCAAGGTTTGAACGTCTGTAAACATATTGTTCAAAGCTATTGCACGAACAAAGTACCCCATATTGAATTAAGCAGATTTCAAAACATTGCTAAAATCAAGGTTTGCATATCATGCACGAGATGGTGGCATGCCACAAGGAAATGAAAAGGCGGTGCCTAGTTTGTAGTTACCATCTGGTCAGCCAACATCAGGACAGTCTTCAGCGTGAATTTCCTGCCGCAATAACAAAACAGGTCCTCCAAACTCGGCCCCAGCAAATCAATGACGAGAACATTCTCTTCCCCGTCCACGCCACACCACTTGACGTTAGCAATGCCACCTGGACACCAAAACCTTTCCCTCGTAAGCTCGCTATATCTTATCTTTATTACATACAGGTAAACTGCTGCAAAGAGTGTCGTGACGGTGCGTACTTCCTCCTTGGAGGGTGTTGTAGATCTTGGCCTCGTAGAACAACTGGGGATGCTTCGTCTTGCTGCTCTCCTATCAGAGAGGTTGCCAAGGTTAGTTCCTCTGATGCGTAATAAAATTATTAATTATATGAGCTACCACGAAAGAGGGGATAACGCTTTTTTATATATATAAAAAAAAGGCGCCAGCAGCAGAGGTTTCCCGCTGTTGTAATCATAGCAGCATTTGCCGAAGGCTCTACAATTAGCCTAGGGAAAGCGTAATCATGGCCAACGTTGAAAAACTAGGCAAATATCATGACAACATATAGCTAAACAAAAACACAAAGCGAGCTGAGCATTTGAAATTAAATTTTTTCTTCCTATAAAAAAATAAAAATGATCATCGGTTGATGAAGACAACTAACAAGATGATGGCACATTTGAACGCAGGAACCCTGTCAATCCGTACCGACGGAGTTCACCAGACCCGACCAACGCAACACTATCCCCGGCCGCTGAGTAACCCAACACGCAGCAATGAATGAAAGCAGCCCACAGAAGAACGACGGCAAAGGAAGAGGAGGGAGGGAGGAGGCGAGAGGAATCGAGGGCACTCACGATCTTCACGGCGACGATCTCGTAGGTGTCCACGTGCGTGGCTGAAACAGGGACAGACAAGAGCAGCGGCGGGTCAGGGACAGTAACAGATAACAAGAGTAAAACCAAGCAGAAGCAGAGCCGCAAGCAACCCAACGCGCGGAAGGGAGGGAGGAACAGGGGATCGGGGAAGAGCGGAATCGGCCACTCACCGAGGTAGATCTCGCCGAAGGAGCCGCAGCCGATCTTCCGGCCGAGCTTGAACTTGCCGCCGACGATGCGGTCCATGCGCCGCGCCTCCGCGTTCCCGTGGGGCTGTGTCCGCAACACGCACCCCAGCTACCTCCCTCCCGGGTCCCGACTCCCGAGGGGGGCGCGGGTATTAGAAGAAGAAGAGGAGGCCTTCCCCTCCCCGCTCCTCCGAACTCCGTGGGTGTGGGTGCCGGCGTCTCGGATTGCTTAGCGCCGACGTCGCTGGTGCGGCGGCCGCGGGTGGGGTTCAATTCTGGTGGCACCAGCCGCGGCCGCGGTCGGGTCTGGGGTGAGACCTGGGTCGGGTCCGGTGGGAGTTGCGTCGAGTTTGGAGTCCCAGACCAGACTCCCCACTCCCCTCTCCCAGAAGAAGTTCAGAACCCCACTGGCAGGTGGGGAGGATTTCACTTGGAAGGGACCCACGCGAATTCCTTGTGTGCGGCTGTGGGCTGTGGCCCGAAGATCCTGGGCGACCCGTGCGGACGGGGAAGAGGATTCGTCTCGTCGACACCTGCCCGTCGTGTCCTGCCGTGTCGGTGAGGGGTGACGTGCTACTCCACTCTTGTTACACGATGGTTTTATATTATCCGTGCTAACGCTATGGTAATATTATATTATATATAAATTAGAATTGAAATATTATTATAAAAAAATTAACAATACTATAAAATATCATTGCTGGCTTAAAATTTCAGAGGCCAACAAATCAAAACGGTAGTAATGGATTAGGCCGAATGCACTCAATTCTTTTCACCTTGATGATACAATTCTTATTTTCACACACAAGCAATAGTGATGCTAGACAAGCTGTTGAAGAAACACTCTGAATAATTCAACAATAAACTCAGTTATTTGGCTCCCAAAATTAACACGCAGTTCAACAATAAACACGCGGTTCACTAATTTATCTCCCAAAAATAGAACAGAGTACTCTAGACTTCAACATTCAATAATTATGTATTGCTACTTTTTAGTTCAAACCTAGGATGTTTTAGTACCGGCTTGTGTGATAACCCATTGCAGAATTACTTATGTAATAAGTTGACAAATGGTTATCTAGTATAATTTCTTTTCATAACATCATTTATCCAATCTCAGTTGCATATCTTGTTTCTTATGATCTAAATATAGAACCAATGCACCAATGAAATCATCCATTTCTTATTGAGTACAATTTGGCATGCTATTCCTGCAAGTCTGCAACCTAAGGCCAAAACAGACTTCTCCTGATTTCCACAACAATCAAAATTCCTAGCAAAGTTTGCCACACAAAAAAAAGGAAAAATCATAAGAAAAAACATAATTGGATAAAAAGAATAAAAAAATATAAGCTTCAAAAGTCTCACATGAGTTTCTGACTCCTGATATTTCAAGCAAATTCAGGAGGACAACTATAGAGGGAACTTGAATTTACTTATCTAAACTATAAGCATAAGAATACCTTCTCTTTCCGAAAGTTGCCACACAACAAGAACTCCCTCCAAACCACCTAAAATAGAAAAATTGTCATTGAGAAGTACAGGTCTTCGAGGAAAAAACTGAGTTAAATTGACCTACACGGAAGGTAAATGAATCGGTAAGCCAAACCTGAGAACAAGTATGCTCTGTCAGAAGAAAATTTGAGCATCTAACGCCCTGTTCGTTTGGGCTTGTTTGGCTTATAAGCCATATTTTTTCAGCCAACGAACAATATTTTTCTCTCACACTAAATCAGCCAACAGTACTTTTAGCCATAGCTTATCAGCCAAACAAGCCCAAACAAACAGAGCGTAAATTACCATAAAAATTTGAAGACTAGGCAGGTTAGGCCTCCACTCTTTATGTAATATGTAATGACATTGACACAAGACATTTAGACAAATAGCATCTGGTAACACCCAAGACATTAGATTTATCAATGTAATCCCTTCTGTAGAAAATTATGGGGCTAGAAGATAAGAACTTACTCCTTCCATAAACTGCTTTTTAATTAAGACATGCTTAAAAATATGGGCACAGCACCACGCCCAACCACCACCTTGGTGTTCTCTGATGTGCCTAATGCAATGTTGGTGAGCACTCATGCAGTTTCAAACTGCAGCAACAATTTATGTGGAACCTGTACAAGCTCCCAAATTAAGTTCAATGAAAATCAAGCTCCCAAATTAGGTTCAATGAAAATCCAGAGACATCTAATTCTAGTGATCTAACATTTTAGCTTTGAACAATACCTGCTAGCTCTACACTTGCGACTTGAACTTGGAGATATTGGACTCCTGCAGCATCTCACTCTGCAAACAACGAAGCAAGGGCACCAAACAAATGAGCAACAATGTACAGCCTTCTAGATTGCATTCACACAGTTCTTATGCTCCATAACAGTGAGGAATCTGAGATGCAGAAATGGTACCTAAGGGTCAGCATGTGCAACTTTACTTAGCCGGATAGGAATTGATATCTCACATGTAAAATTTCTTCTTGTCAATTAGCTGAAGGATAAGACAATATTGCAGCTCATGACATTAACACAAGTTTTGAGTGGGCTACTGGAACCATTAACACAGTGTTGAGTGGGCTACTGGAACCATTCTAGATGTGAATTGAAACATTAGAAAACAATCTTTTAAGTTCTGAACTACAAGCACAGAGCTCTAGAAAACAATCTTTAAGTTCTGAACTAGCAGGAGCGGGAGCAGGAGCAAGAGCAGGTCGTGAGTCGTGAGGGGTGAGGACGGAATAAAATCAAGGTATGGTGAAGCTTATAACACGGACAATAAAATTTTAAATTGAAATAATAGCCTTAGAATCTAATGTTCTTGTACTCAACAGTTTATCACAACAGAATAATGCTATGGATGTTGAGGAAAAAAAATCCAAACGGAGAAGCTAATGTTCTTGTACTCAACAGTTTCAACATTGAATCCTACAAAGACAAGCCAGTCCTATCATTCTATCAATGAAACTACAGTAAAGACATACAATAAGTCGAAAACAGATATATTTCATATTACTAACTTCTGATATACATAGGACGCTCCAAAAAGGATGGCATATTATTCAGAAGCCGACTATTTGTCAAGTACTAAAGCTACGTGCATACTTGTTTGAACAAAGGACAATTTTTATATTAAGAAAAACTGCAAACAGAATGCATTCCATCTCGTACATCTCGTAAAGTGTCAATACACCCCTATTGCATTCCAGCTCATATATTGTGCATTCTATACCAGACGAAAACTAAATTGAGTGTGGTCACACAGTTAGGTACCTGTGCGAGTTGAGTTGGACCTCATCGATAGAAGCCGTGATGGAGCCCTGCGTGCGTGAGTGGGGAAACGTTTGAAGCCTCGCATGACGAGGCGGAGGGCGTGGGGTGAGAAGTCTAGCATCTCACATCGAATCGTAGCCATCGGATTTGGTTAAGGTATTTGATTAACTCTTGATTTTAATGGTGCTGAATTCGTGTGTGCATTTTTCCTATGTGCGCAATGGTTGGGGGCTCTCAGTGGGGGACGTTTTTGTGGGAGAACCTAATATAATTTTGACTAATCCATTATATTAAAGATTTCCTCTCAAACTCTCTTTTATACTAGCACCGGGCCCTTAAACAATATATATGGCACCTAGTTTATTTATGTGACAATTGACTATTGGACATCCATGTGATGGATACCTACTTTAGAGCATTTTGCCATAGGACACTCTACATTTTGCCATAGCATTTTGCCGGTTGAGAGAGAAACTTCATTTTGACATCGTTGCCCTGAATTAGGCCACCCCAATGGTCTTGTTGGACCCACGGCCCGGTTTAGGGCCCGGTTGAAGAGAGAGAAAACTTTATTTTAGACATCATCCGGTGCCCTCGAATCCACACTTGGGTCCGCCTCAACCTGGTCCGGTTGGACCCATAAGACCCCCGTCTATTACCCTCGGCCTCATCCATCATCTGCCACCATGTGGGCTGAGGATCTGGAGTCTCCACGATAAGATGAAGTTCCCAACAAGGCGGCGGCAATGCCACGGTTCTCGGCTAGGGTTCCTCAATTAAAATGGATTCTAAAGGGTGAGCTTTTTTGAACCTATAGATTTGTATACCGTGAATGCGTTAGAAAGGTTGCGGTTTGAAATCATTTAGTTTGGTTCTTTTCCTCAATTTTGATTTAGGATGGATCCGATGGAGCGAGAGTAGGTTGGTGATTAGAGTAATGCTTGCCCAAGGGCAATGACTATGGAGTCAATGATTATCATATAATTGCTAACTACATCCACAAGGATCTCTTCAATTGGATGGATGCACTAGGAGCAAGAGGAGATAGTTCATGATGGATGTCTGCAGCACTACTTTGACAAAACCAAGGATGAGAAAAGAAGAAAGATTCTTTTGAATTACATGCATTTGATGTGATTGGGACTGTTTGTGTGCACTTTTGAGAGTTGTTGACATTGGTCCTCGTTTGTTATAGTCTGAACTTGGCAATGAACTTGGTATTGTAATTTATTAAACATGGTATTGTCAATCGGCATATGATTTTGGCGATGAACTTGGTAATCTAGTGATGATCATAATGCTAAATGTCATATTCAATATCTAATGTGAACATTGCTATTCATATTCTAGAATGGTAATACCACGATGTGAATTCAAGGTTGATAATCCCGATGTTACTTGTTGTGTGGCTACTAATCTTTATGGAAGTAATTGGTTGATGTTAAAAATTTATTAACCTAGGCAGGATATCACATAACTAGTCGATGAAATTTTTTAGATGATGAGAAATAGAAGTACAAACATTACTAAATGATGAAGTTCATGCTTGATTACTATTATACAATAATGATGACCACATGGATGCAACTAAAGCATACAATAGATAACCCTAAGATAGTTGTTGGTGTTACATTGAAGATCCACCTAAGAACTAGGTAATATGTTCTCCTTAATTAGTTCTACTCATAGTGATCACGGCGGTATAGAGCCCATTGTGCTACAACATTGTTGGAGGTTTCACATCTCAATTCTCCAAAGCATGGTAGGTATGTGTTTATTTTAGAGTTTG